ATTGAATTCAGGGGCACTCAACCACTGAGCCACATCCCCAGCCCTATTTTGTATTTTATGTAGAGACAGGGGCTCACTAAGTGCTCAGCGCCACCATACCTGGTTCAAATCCCCACCTCTTCACCTGAGCTCTTAACCTTGGGAGAGGTGTCAGGGCTGTGTCCACCTGGGTGAGATGAGAAGAGTGGTAGGCCCCTCCTCAGAGAGCAGCTGTGAGGGCCAGGGGAGTCAGCGTCTGTGGAGTACATGCAGCAGCATCCAGCATATAATAGGTACTACGTAAATGTTTGTTATTGCTATTGTTGTCGATACACAACTTGCCTGATTTCTCATGACTAATGCACTGTGTTGCTGGTAGCAACCTAGCTTCTCAGTTTTCACAACCAAATGCCTCCAGACATTGACAATATTCCCTTTAGGAAAAAATTGCACCTGCTTGCTGGGCACAGTAGTGCATGCCTGTAATCCCAGTGGCTCAGGAGGCTGAGGAAGGAGGATTAGGAGTTCAAAGCCAGCTTCAGCAATTTAGCACAGCCCTAAGCAACTCAGTGAGACCCTGTCTCTAAATAAAATATAAAAAAGGGCTAGGGATATGGCTCAGTGGTTAAACACCCCTCGGTTCAATACTCAGTACCAAAAAAAAAAAAAATTGTACCTGGTTAAGAACCACTGGTTTAGGAATGGACAGGTAATGTGACTCTGGTCACTGAGCCATGTCATTTCATGCCACATTATTCTTCATGACTACGTAGTGTTCCATAGTGGAAAGAGCCCATTGTTTATATAACCAGTCTCTTGATGGAGCTTAATTTTTTTCAGTGTTTACAATCATGAATATCTATGTGTTTACATACTTGTACAATATGGTAAATGCAGGAGTGTGAACTTCCCAGCTGCTTGGACACTGAGGCAAGAAGGTCGCTTGAACCTGGGAGCCCAGGTGTTGGACACCAGCCTGGGCAAAACAGCAAGACCCTGCTTTAAAAATATTAAAATATATGTGTGTGTAGATGTGAATTTAGATATAAATCCCCATACATTTCTGCACTTATGAGAATGAATTTATAGAGTAAATGCCTGGAAGTAGAGTTTGCAGTTTATATTTCTTGTTTTCTTTTTTTGGTCCTGGGGATTGAACCCAGGGTTGCTCTACCACTGAGCTCCATCCCCAGCCCTTTTTATTTCTTATTTTGAGACAAGGTCTTGCTGAGTTGCTTAGGGCCTCACTAAATTGCTGAGGCTGACCTTGAACTTGTGATCCTCCTGCCTCAGCCTCCCGAGTTGCTGGGATTTCAGGCATGTATCGTGGTCCTCACTGCATTGTTTGTATTTCAATAGATACCACCAATGTGCCTTCCAAAAAGTTCTCAAAAGTCAATGTTAGTTGACCCACTACATGTATGAATGCCTGTTTCCACAAATCTTCCCCCTAATTCTATGTGAAAGACCCTTTAAAAATATTTTTTGCACTTCAAACAGAAAAAAATGGTTATCTATAGAAAGAAAAAACATTTTTTGATGTAGAGTAACATACTGTTTAATACAGTTACCATAATTTATTTGTATGCTGATGTTGAACACTCAGTACCTCTTTAGTGTATATTGAAGTTTTTTTAAAGTGAGTACAATTATTTTTCATAATTATGTCAATTCATTGACAGATTTGAATTTGTGCATATGAGGTACTATGGATTGAACCCAAGGCCTCGCACATCATCAGCAAGCTCTCCATCACTGAGCTACATCGGAAGCCCTTAAAATTGATTTTTAATTGGCAAATAATACTTGTGTATATTTATAGGGTAAATGTGATATTTTGATTTAGGTTTACATTGTGGAAAGATTAAATCACACTCATTAACATAACTGTCACTACCAACTTCTCATTTTTTTGTGGTGAGAACCCATCCATTTGCCTATTTGGAAATATATATTCTTTGTTTTGGTTTTGCAGTACTGAGTATTGACCCCAAGAATGCTCTACCAGTGAGCTACATCCAGCCTGCCTCCCCCTTTTAAAAAATTTTTTTATTTGTTATTTTTGAGACAGGGTCTTGATAAATTTTCCAGGCTGATCTTGAACTTGTATCTTTCAGTCTTAATCTTCTGAGTTGTTGGTACTACAGGCATGCACCACCATGTCCAGTGAAATATACATTTTTTTGGGGGGGTATCAAGGATTGAACTCAGGGACACTCGACCACTGAGCCACATTCCCCAGCCCTATTTTGTATTTTATTAGAGACAGGGTCTCACTGAGTTGCTTAGCGCCTCACTATTGCTAAGGCTGGCTTTGAACTCCCAATCCTTCTGCCTTTGCCTCCTGAGCCATTGGGAATACAGTGCCACCGACGGCACCAGGCCTATCTATTTATTTTTGTACAAAGAATTCCACAAAAAAGTCTTACCGTGGCCCTGCCTAATTTTAGTGTTTTTATTCAAAATACATATATCAAGTCTGATGACCTCCCTGCAGAATCAATGGAATAAAAACAAGAACTTGAATCTCAATGTGTAAAATATTCAGATTATTTCCCTCCAGTAGTGATCAATTTTAAATTTTGAAGTAAAAGTAAACAAAGGAAGATGAGAAATATTTCTCATCACTTTTCCTAAGAAGGGTGAACTTCTGTAGTTTGTGACCCGGGCATCTCTGTGGTAGGCCTTACTAAAACAAGGAGAGGGAAATACAACAAAATGCATATCTTAAACTTTTATTTCTCCACTATTTTGTTTTTATTGTTTGATATCTTTTTATTGGTGATGGATGTGTTTGGTTTGCAGCACACATTTCTGGTTTCAATAAAAATATAAGTACAACTGGGCACGGTGGCGCGTGCCTGTACTCCCAGTGGCTCGGGAGGCTGAGGCAGGAGGATGGCAAGTTCCAAGCCAGCCTCAGCAACTTAGGGAGGCCCTAAGCAACTTAGCAAAACCCTGTCTCAAAATAAAAAAAATAAATAAAAAGGGCTGGGGACATGGCTCAGTGGTTACGCGCCTCTGGGTTCAATCCCCATTATCAAAAATAAATAAATAAATAAGAAATAAAAGACATAAATACAAAATGAAAACATAGTAGCCTGGGAAGATCCATGTAAACAGACATGGCTTATTTGAAAACTCTCACTTTTGTAGGTTTCTTTTCAAAATTAAAATGGAGGAAGAATTCCCAGCATCTTGTTACTGGGACAGAGGAAATAGAACAGGAAGGACCCCATGGGAGCCCGCCAAGCTGGGCGGGGCAGGGGTTGGGGGTGCCCTCTGGAAGTGAGGGTGAAGGGGACAGGCCCTGGTGCCCGCTGCATGCTGGTAACTAGCATCCTACCTGCCTTGCAACCCCAGTTCGGGAACACCTGCTGCTCCACACTGGGGTGAATCATTTCCTTCCTGGGCTCTGGGTGATCTATCACACCGGCGCCTTGTCTAGATTTTAACAACACTGTCAACAGAAAAGGTTCCTCATTCCAGAAATGCAAAACAAATTACATAAGAAACGTGTTCTTAAAGGAAAAAAAAAAAAACTCACCTAAAGGCGTCATGATCCCTAGGAACAATTAATTAAGCTTGGGAACATAAATCTCCTTTTTAAAAATGCTTGTCAAAGAAATGAGGCGGTTTCTCTTCCCTTGCTGATTTACAGCAGTGGATTACCTTTCTGAAGGCAGGAACAGGCGTGTGGGGAGCCTCCCAGGAGTGTGTAGACCGAGGAAGGAATAATGGGTGACAGGGACAGGCTGGCTGAGCCCAGGATGGCTTGTCCCACAGGAGTTTGGGGTTGCCAGATCCATACCCTGGTTGTCCTTGAGAAACCCGCAACTCTGTTTTTAATAGCTCGATATCCAAGTGAAATGACTTAGAGCAGACTCACCTTTGATCCACTGATCTACTTAGAAACTGCTGCAGACAGAGCCTGTGGCCCCAGAGATCATTAACCAATTAAAGAAGGAGGAAGAGAACCTTGTGAGTTAGAGAAATACAGGAAGTCTGAGGTTTGTCAGTCGTTGAAGCACTTGGTGTTGTCTTTTAAGAGCCCGAGCCTGAGAATTTTCTTTGGGATAACGAAAGAGTCACATTAGAAAGTAACAGAGGGGACAGGGCACTGCTTAGAGGCAGAGTCCTGCAGGGATCATCCCCAGCAAGGCACAAACCCCAGAGCCCAGCAAAGCCACATGCTGCTCAAACTCAAGAAGGGTGGCGCTATTTGGAAGCAGAAAAAGGTGACAGCCCTTGTTCCCCAGCTCCCTCAGGGTTCCTGACCCCACCTAAATATGTTTCTATTTCCGAGTCATAAGGCAGGGAAATGGGAGTCATTTTCCTCCCGAGTTCTGCACTCATTAAACGACACACCTTTTAAGTTTTTTTTTTTTTAAATTAATAGATTTTTGTTTGTTTGTTTGTTTAGAACTACTGTGGTCCATAGAAAATTAAAGGGTGTAGAAAATTCCCATATACTCACTTCTTCACCCCCCCACCCCCACGTACCTTTCCCCCTATTCTTAGCCTCTGACCTTGGGAGGCACATCTGATACACTCCATAGGCCAATATTTTGGGGTGGGGTGGCGCGGGGTACTGGGGATTGAACTCAGGGGCACTCGACCACTGAGCCCCACCCCCAGCCCTATCTTGTATTTTATTTAGAGACAGGGTCTCACTGAGTTGCTCAGCACCTTGCTTTTGCCTGAGACTGGCTTTGAACTCTCCATCCTCCTGTCTCAGCCTCCCCAGCCGCTGGGATTACAGGCGTGGGCCACCTCACCTGGCCCTAGATGACTCAATATCAATACATCGTTTTAAACTAAGGTCCTTGCCTACATGGTTTCAGTCTCGTGTTGTGCATTTCTGCAAGCTTTGGGAAATGTCCATATGACATGTATTCACCATGACAGCATCATAGGCGTAGCTTCACGGCCCTAGAAATCCCCTTTTCTGTTTTAGCAAGGTGCCATTCTAAGTTATAGTTTCAACATAACTGTTAATTTTTTTTAAAACCTGATTTTAGGAACAAAAGAAAGAGGATTCTCCCTTTTGGCAGAAACCTACAGTCACTTGAGCTGTAACTGGGATATCCCGGGGAAGAGGTCAGGTCCTGGCGGATGTATCAGCACCCACGCAGGAAAACACCAAAATGTGTTTGCTAAATCAGGGGAGGAAGCCCATCCCTCCGAGGACAGGTAAGACCTGGAAGGGGCGTGTCCAAGGATCACCTGCCGCCACCCAGTTTACAGTTCCACAACCTGATCACCTCATAAAGCTGCCCAAACCAAGCACTTAGAAAGCTCCTTTGGCTCTTGGACGGAGCATTGGTGGAAAGGAGTGTAGCTGAAACTAACCAAAGGAGGCCTTATGCTTCCAGAAAAATCTTAAGGAAAAGTGTTGAAAGCAACAGTCGGGCTGTGAGATCAAGCTCTAAAGGAAAGGAGAGAGAGTAATCCCTAGGACTCAGGAGGCTGAGGCAGGAGGATCTAAAGTTGCAGACCAGCCTCTTTTTCCTGAGGGAGACCCCGCCTCAGAATAACAACATTTTATTTTTTTTCTTTTAACAGTTGGAGATATGATAGAGCACTTGCCAGGCATGCGCACCCTGCTTCAAAACCAGCATGAGGGCGTTGGGGGCAGGGGTTGAAGAGGTTCAACTATGAAGGTGTAAAGCCTTCGCCCACAAAACAGAGGTGCCAAAGGCAGTGCTAAAAGACAAGGATGACTTCGCATTTAGAGATGGTGACACTCTTGGGACATACATAGACTAAAATGAATGACTGCTGAAGCTGCCACCGATGCAGTTCTGAAAGCTCTCAGCATGTACATAATCCCCAGGCCTCTCTTTTAGAATCCACTGATATCTAATCTAATAATAATAGGAACTGAAAAGATAAAGCTCAGCGTGCTGCGTCCTGCGCCCTCCTGGAAGGGGCGGAGTCTCGTTCCCAGGTTCTCCTGGGGACTGTGCCCAGGTCTAGTGTGGAGGAGGCCCGGGAGCGAGGTCGAGCCTCTGCGGAGCCCGGTGTTCGGGAGCTGGACTGTGAGGCTCGGGGCAGAGAATGCAGAACATGAACTGTTCCACTTTCCAGCTAATATTTGAGCACCTGCTGTATGTGAAGTGTCGCTCAAGAATCAGACAAAGTCCTGGCCCTCCTGGAACCCGTGGTCTCGACAGAGAAGGCAGACGTCAGACTAAACGTGCGAATTTATGAGTTAGGCCACGGAGTCTGGGGAGCAGGGGAGACGCCTGTGTGTGGAGGCAGTTGGGGGTGAAGTGGCCCCCGGCCACCAAGGGTCTCTGGACAGCAGAACAAGCAGCCAAGAGAAAGGGACAAGGGCCCTGGGCCGAGTGCCCTGGGCTGTCAGGGCAGGGCAGGGCAGGGCGGTGAGCAGGGCTGGACCAGGAGGAAAGGGGCAGGACTAGATCCGCAAGGCTGGACCCGGTGAGTGCTTCCTGGGGAGTCTGCTGGGAAAACGGAAAGGCCCCTGGGGGGTCGCGGGGAGGGGCGACAGGCACCCGAGTGCGTGCCCTTTTCCCTCCCACCCATTGCCACGGCCTCTGTTTTCAGCGTGGTGGCCCCATGAGGACAGCCAGGTGTACATCCCATAGCAGGGCCTTTCCTGATTGTCACCTCCCGTATCCAGCAGCTCCCTGGACGGCTGCCCTCTCGGACATCCAGACACCCGGAAGGTTCTCAAGCTCAGCGCCCCCCACCAGGAGCCCCCCGGCCCCCCCCCCCCCCCCCCAGCCCGCTCCTCCTCAGGCTTCCCTGTCCCAACACAGAAAATTCAGGATTTATTGGCTCAGCCTCAAAGCCTCGGTTGGCCTCGACTGCCTCCTCCTGTGTCCATTCCACAGCAAACCCCGCTGACTCCGCTTCAGAGGGGGCCCAGAACCCCGAGGGCCAGGCCACTGGCTTTTCTCTTTCCATATCTGTCCCCTTTTCCATTTGTTCTTTTTCATTCTGTGTCTCGGCTTCTCGCTGGTGCTGGAGAGGGAACCCCGGCCTCCAGCCAGGCAGATCCGCACTCTCCCTAAGACACGGCCAGCCTTCCTTTGCCTTCCCATGCACCCTGGCTGGCCTCGGGCTCCTGGCTCAGGCTGTCCTCCTGCTCCATCTTTTTTTTTTTGGCAGGGGGGTACCAAGGATTGAACCCAGGAACACTTAACCACTGAGCCACGTCCCAGCCCTTCTTGTATTCTAATTAGAGACAGGGTCTTGCCGAGTTGCTTAGGGCCTTGCTAAGTTGCTAAGGTTGGCCCTCCACTTGCAATCCTCCTGCCTCAGCCTCCTGAGCCACTGGGATTACAGGCGTGCACCACTGTGCCCGGCTAGGTGGGACTACAGGCACATGCCACCACAGCCAGCTTTGGTCTGTCCTTAAAATAGTTCCATCAGTGAGCAATGGTACATGCCTATAATACCAGTTTAGGAAGCAGAAGAGGGAGGATCATAAATTCAAGACCAGCCTCCACAATTTAGCAAGATCCTGTCTCAAAAGGGACAGTGATGGGTTCAATCCCCAATACCTACCAACCAATCAACCAACCAACAAATACAATAAACAAAAAGAGCTTCAACTCCCAGCTAGACTACATCACCTGTCACTTCAAAACTGCCATGGCTGCCATCTCCCTGGGCTAGGGGCCAAAGCTCTTACCATACATGCTCCTTTTCTGACCCTCCCTGCTTTCTGGCCTTGCCACTCTGTACTGATCACAATGAGCTCCCTTATCTTGCCAGGAACACAGCAGACATGATCCTACCACAGGACCTTTGCGTCTGCTATGATATCTGCTTAGATGTACCCCCAGATAAATGCAAGACCTGCTCCGTTACCTATTCCAGGTGTCTCTTCAACTGATACCTGATGGCAGGAGTCAGCCAACATTTTCTGCTAAGAGGCAGAATGTAAATCTTTTAGGCATTGTGGGCCACCAGGTCTCTGCTGCAACTACTCAGCTCCACTGCTGTCAGGGAGGAGCAACCACAGACAATACGTAAGCAACAACAAACACGCTGTGTTCCCATAAAACTCAACAAACACTGTAGTGGGACTTCACGTGACGTTCAGGTGTCATCCACCATGCTTCCTTTGACTTTTCCCCAACCGTTTTAAAAGGTAGGGCTAGGAGTGAGGCTCAGGGGAACAGCGCTCACCCAGCATCCCCATGGTCCTGGGTTCAGTTCCCAGCAGCACAGAAAATATATCAATAAAATAAAACAGAAATGTAAAAATCGGCTGGGCACGGTGACACACACCTGTAATCCCAATTACTCAGGAGGCCAAGGCAGGAGGATTGCAAATTCAAGGCCAGCCTACCCAATTTAGAGACCTTGTTTCAAAAAAAAAAAAAAAAAAGGTAAATAAATAAATGAATAAAGGTAGCTGCTGGGTAGATTCTGCGGCACTTGCCTGCCATGTGCAAAGCCCTGGGTGTCGTTCCCAGAACCACACACACACACACACACACACACACACAAATCCAGGTCCAAAGAAGCAGGGCCTCCATGTGACCTTGGGCAAGTTACCCAGTGTGGAAATGGGTTCCCTGAGCTAATAGGAGTGAGTCTCTCCACACAGTTTGACACAGTGTCTGCAGTAAATAGCAGCCACAGCTTCTTTTTCATTAGAAAGGCATCTTTTCTACCAAAAAAAAAAAAAAAGTAATAAAATATAGATCAGCAAAAACTAACATCAGTCAGACACAGTGGTGCATTTCTATAATCCCAGCAACCCAGGAGGCTGAGGCAAGAGGATCGCAAGTTCAAGGCCAGCCTCAGCAACTTGTCGAGGCCCTAAGCAACTTAACAAGACTCTGTCTCCAAATAAACAATAAACAGGGCTGGGGATGCGGCTCAGTGGTTAGACCTACCTGGGTCCAATCCCCGGTACCAAAATAAAAACAATAATAATAAAATAATAATAATACATTTAAAAATAGCATTGTTCCATTTTCCCCAAATAATTAAAAGTGCTCTACCACTGAGCCCCAGCCCTAGCTGGAGCACTTTAAGAATAAATTTATTTATTCTTAACAAATAAATTTTTAACAAATCCAGGAAACCATCTGGGAAATTTAAACGCTGGCAATATCATTGATGACATTCAAGACCCACTGCTTATTTTGTGAGGTGTGACAGGATAGACCTCCCCCCCCCACCTCCCCCGCCACTGGGGATTGAATCCAGGGAAACTTTTACCACTCAGTTACATCCCCAGCCCTTTTAATTTCTTATTTTGAAACAAGGTCTTACTAACTTGCTGAGGCTGGCTTCAAACTTGAGATCTTCCTGCCTCAGTCTCCTCAGTGGCTGGAATTACAGGTTTGTGCCACCAGCCCTGACTGTGATTATGCTTTTAAAAGGAGTCCTTAAACTGGGCACAGTGGCACAGTGGGGCACGCCTATGATCCCAGGAGCTTGAGGCAGGAGGATCACAAATTCAAGGCCATTAGCAAGGCCTGTAGCAACGGAGACCATCTCAAAATAACAAAATAAAAAGGACTGGGGAGGTAGCTCAATGGAATAGCACCCCTGGGTTCAATCCAGGTAACAACAACAACAACAAAGTCTCTAGTATCTTTTAGAGATACTAAAGTGTCAGTGAATAAAATTTTATGGTATCTAGAAATTTCATCTAGATGATAGTCACCAGTATTCCCAGCCACTCGGGAGGCTGAGGCAGGAGGATCACAAGTTCAAAGTCAGCCTCAGAAATTTAATGAGGCCTTATGCAATTTAGCAAGACTGTTTCAAAATAAAAATAAAAAGGGCTAGGGATGATGTAGCTCAATGGTTAAGTGTCCCAGGCTCAATCTCCAACACAAAATATACATATGTATATATATCGTTTCCTCTCTCTATATACTCTCTCTCTCTCTCTCTCTATATATATATATATAGATAGAAAGATAGATAGATATAGATATATGTGTATATCTATATAGATATAGATCTATACAGAGACAGAGAGAGAGAGAGAGAACGCTCACACAGGAGTAGGGTTCACACTATGCCAGGGGATCATGAGTTGACCATTATTAAACTGTATGATGGGTAGGCGCAGTGGTTTGAATGGCCCCTCCCCAGTAGCACTGTTGGAAACCTGACCCCATGCTGCAGTGTTGGAGGCGTCTGGGTCTTGAGGGCTCCCCCTCCTGAATGGGTTCCTGCCCATCTCGAGGGCTGGCAGCAGCTGGCACTATAGTAGTGCACACTTATAATCCGACCACTGAGCTACATTCTCAGCTCTTTTTATTTTTGTCTTGAAACAGAATCTTGCTAAGTACACAGACTGACCTCAAACTTGCGATCCTCCTGCCTCAGCCTCCTGAGTTGTTGGGATTACAGGTGTGGGCCACTGTCCCCTGCTAATAACCTATGTTCTTTATAAGTTCCCCCGTCTCAGATATTCTGTTACAGCAGAATAAAATGGACTGAGACAGTGGATGGAGGTTTATTCTGCTCTTCTCTCTACTTTTGTATTTGCTTAAAAGTGTTTATAATTAAAAAAAAAAAAAAAAAAAGGCGGGGTGGGGAAGCTGGGGGTGTGGCTCAGCGGTAGAGCACTTGCCTAGCACTTGCCAGGACCTAGGTTCAATCCTCAGCACCACATAAAAATAAATAGATAAAATAAAGATATTGTGTTCAACTACAACTAAAAAGTAACTATTGAAAACTGGCTGCCAGGTCAGGGGCCACTGGTTACCCTGTGTCTTCTCCTCCTCCTCAGCTATAAAGCCCCCATCTTGAAAGGCTGTGTGCCCACGCAGACAACAAGACATGTTTCCAAGATTTCCTAGTCCCAAGAACAGCCACATGACACCATTCTGCAATATTTGAAAGAAATGGCATATTTGACTTCTTGAAAGTGTCTTTAGCTAGGCGTGGTGGTGCACACCTGCAATCCCAGCAGCTCAGGAGGCTGAGGCAGGAGGATCACAAGTTCAAAGTCAGCCTCAGCAACAGCAAGACACTGAGCAGCTCAGTGAGACCTTGTCTTTAAATAAAATGCCAAATAGGGCTGGGGATGTGGATCTGTAGTCGAGCGCCCCTGAGTTCAATCCCCAGTACCAAAATAAAAAAGTAAAAGTGTCTTTAGACTGGGGATGTGGCTCACTGGTAGAGTGGTTTGATCTCCAGTCCTGTCCCCACTCCCCGCCCCCGACCAAAAAAAAAAAAAAATGCCTTTAAAGAGGCACATCTTTTCTTCTGATCTCCAGCTATTCTTTCTGCTTGTTGCAATATAGTCTGGTAGCTGGAGCCTCAGCAGCCATGTTGGATCATGAGGCATAAACTGGATGAAATAATGTTGTGACAGGAAGAAGGAAGGAGTCCAGTTCCTGGTTGCACGGAACATCCTTGATTAACTGCCTCCAAATTTATTTTTCATGAGGAGGAAATAGGGCTCTTTTACTTGTTTATTTTTCAGAGACAGGATTTTACTGTGTTGCTTAGACTGCCCTCAAATTCCTGGGCTCAAGAGAACTTCCTGCCTCAGCCTCCTGAGTTGTGGGGATTGCAGATATGTGCCACCGCACCTGGCAGCCACTGAACTCTTTCCTACAATAAAATCATTTAAACCCCCTCTGGTGGTGTTGACACTGAGTTGTAAGATGAGAGCCTTCTGGTCTTCCACCTGCTGGTTACAGGGCGGTGTCCAGCTCTGCCTGTCTAGGCACTTGCCCGGCTCCTGGGCATTGAGCAACCATGCTAACAACCCGCAT